GGGCTGTTTAGTGCATTAAACAGTATGATAGATAAAAATAACAACACATTATATAAAAGTTATAAACTGAATTGTGTATCATTGAATAATTTAAGTATTTGATTAGACAGTCGATCAATAACAGATACTCCTGATCTCAACTCATTAAGTCGCGACATTAAGTCCACAGAATCAGTTTCTTCCATTCCAACAAATAAATGTATAATTTCTATGTAATATGTTGTTTTTTTGGGGGGGATTTTTGGTTGATATTCAATTTCTCCTCAGTAATATGAGACGACCATAAAAATGAGAGACTGTTCATTTCTTTGTAAGTGAGCAAACGTATTAATTCAGCAGGCAAAATAATCAAATAGTATGGATAACTCGATATTTTCTCTTTTTATGACCATTCTCTGTAAACTCTAGAAATAGCCTAACTGTTTGGGAAAGTCCCAACAGGTCAGCAAAGAAATACTAAGACCAACCCATGCCACATTCAAAGTCTCTTAAATCAGCGGTCCCCAAATCCCGTCCTGGTACTGGTTCGTGAGTCGTTTGGTACCGGGCGCGACAGTTGGGGCTTGGGTGTGAAATTTATGGTTTTCAGGGTTTTTATTGTTTTTATCATTAACTCTGTTTCCCTGGGTCTTTTCCCGTGTGTTATGAATAAAACTTATTTGTTTTGGTACCGGTACTGGTTTTATTTTGTTGTACTAATTTGCGACACCTTAAAGGCCGGTCCGTGAAATATTTTTGGACATAAACCGGTCCGTAGCGCAAAAAAGGTTGGGGACCGCTGTCTTAAATTATCTTTCTTCCTCATTGTGATGCTCAGTTTGAAGTTCAGCAAGTCATCTTGACCAGTTTTAGATGCATAAATGCACCGAGTTGCTGCCAGGTGATTGGCTGAATAGATAGTTGCATGAACAAGCAACTTAACAGCTGTACCTAATAAAGTGGTACTACTAAAAAATCCTTCTGTTCATTATTCGAGGAAAAGAAAAAGAGGCAACAAAATCCTTTCTACTGCCTCAATTCTCTTAAGACTGTGGGAACAAACATTTGTAAAATATTCTGAGAGCAAAGGCCAAACACAGATAGGAAAACCAGCTCAATAAGGAATGTCTATAGAGGAAAGGAAACCTCCATAAATACCAGGAGCCTTGAACTCTCTGACTCAGAAACAAGCTGGGAAAACCAGGAATTTTCATCCCCTTTTTAATTTTCTGAGCCTGGCAGCTCTCACGGACACAAAAGACTTGAGTTGCTTTTGTTGTGGTAGTAGCGGTGGTGGGCTCAGCGGTCACCATGACAACAGGAAAAGTAGAGGCTCAGTATTTGGAAAGTTGAAAGAGGGGAAGCTTCATGGTGCCTCGGCCCTTCATTCAGAAGGCTCCTCTGTTGTTTCCTTCCTAACTTTCATTTAGAAAGATGTTTTGACTCTTCAAAGAGCTTTGGGTCTCGGGCTGTGGTTTTCATCGTCATTTCCTGTTGTGTTTTCTCTTTATGTTCATCAGGAGACGCCACGTACCTTGACATCTTCCGAGAATTTTCGCACATGGCTTCCCACAACCCAGAAAAGCTGAAAAGAAGGAGTTTGCACTTCCGACACTCCTTCAGGTAGTCCTTCAAGAGTCGAGAGAGGGAGAAAATACTTGAAAAATGCAGCTTTCCAAACATTCACCACAGCTGGATTTCAATGAGAGGTGACCCTGAGGAGGAGCCTGATGCTGCTGAATAAATTCAGCCATCACAGTATACTATACAGTAAGTTTATGCATTTTTTGTAGCTTTCTCTGTGTATTCCACAGAGAAAGCTACAAAAAATGCATAAATAAATAAACGTCACATTTAAAGTTCATTAAAGTGAAGAAATTAATGCATTTTAGTTCAGTTACAACTTTTATTTTGATAGGGTTTTGTTCTATGAGGATCTGCTGGTCTTTTCCTCTCAAATATATATGTGTATAAATACATTGTTAGTTGAGCACTTGTTTTGTATGAACCATCATTTCTTTGCTGATTCATTACATCAATACTTTCCAGTATGTTTGATTGTATATGTACTGCATGCATGTACTCCTATTATATTTCAAGGATAAGAAATTTAATATCATTAGTTATTATCATCTTGATAAGCAGTTTTGATCTGAAACATGTTCTCTTTTTCCTTTGTTTTTGCATCGACTATGCTGGTGTAGTCTTGGTGATGTATTTTTGTCTACTGTGGTGTACCACTATAAAACGCAGTGCTTCTGATGCTGTAAACAAGCTGTAGAGACAAAAATAAAAATGCTAATATATCTGAAAAGGCAAGATGAGAGATGGATGGAAATAAACATCGTCTGTTCGACTCACTCCGTTTTTCCTTGTCGCTGAGACAACAGCGCCTCCTTGTGTTGAAATGTGTGACAAATTGATCTTTTTAATTAGGGAATAATCTATATACAGTGAAGCCCAATTTCAGTTGACTGTAGTTATACAGTTTATAAATTCAATATGTCTGCTAATAATTTCTAATTTCCCAATAAGTCTTTATTTGTGTTTATTTGTCAATATGGTGTTTACAGCCACCTTTCCATGGAATATTTAGCTAGAATAGCATTATCACAAGTTTTAATTAGGAGAACAAAATTCTAAATTTAAAAAAATATAAATAAATAATAAGGTACCAGTGGTTAAAATGTGATCTTTCTCACTCACACTATCTATAAAATTCAGTAATTCAGTTCCTATAAATGAATTGATTACACATTATTTTTAATGGATAGATGGGTGAAAGATAATCTATCTCTAAATTGTTTAATTTTAAAAGGTGTACAAAAACAATATTAAATTTCCATGGGTTAAAAAAAAAGTACATTTTTAAATATATAAATAACGAATGGGATGTTTTAAAATGCTGTCTAAGAAGATAAAATAACAAAATCATAATTTAATGTTTTATTTCCATGGTGACTGTCCATCAACTGTTTAAAAAAAGATGGGCGTAGCCACTGTGGCATCACCTATCAGATTTTGGACATTGCATTTGGAGGTGGGGTTTGTTTGTAGAACCAGAAGTGACCATATCATATCTGACAGATATAAACTTCTACAATTTCACTCACCAAAAGAGAAATGTGGACAGTCAAGGGGTCAAGTTAAGTGACTTCAGCTGAGGTGAGGCCTCTCTGGCAGCTGTTGGCTGAAGCTGTCAATGAAAGCAGCCACACCCTTACATTTAAATGTAAATCACATCAATATAATAATGATAACAATAATAATAATCTTTATCATGATCCAGTGTATACTGACGGTTTTCTTAATATTGTGAACTTGGGGATTTAACTCCTTTTGGAGCCAGCCTCAGCCGACCACGGGAGGACTAATTTTTCAGCCATGAACGTTGCTTCTCAGGTCCTCCATACAGAATTATAAACTTATACTGTATATTAGTCACTTAATCTGATGATTTTTCACTAGTTTCCATGTCATAATAATAATAATAATAATAATAATAATAATACAATATAAATAACTGTTAATAACAACATTAACAACCTAGTGCTACCACCTTTTAGAAGGTCCTTGAGGCTCCACCAGTACTGAAGAAGGTACAAGTGGCACAGAGGGTGGCCAGGACTACAGACTATGGACAACAGTTTGTTCAGTGTCCACCTCTCTATCACAGCTTCAAAAATGCACAATTTGCTGCCAATCACAGAGCCAGACTAACTACAGAAAACTACACTCTGCTCCCCACAGCTGACTGATAGAAACTCTCAATCATTTTGCAGCACACATTAAGCATCTCGGCTTCCTTAGTAAACAGAGCCTGCTCATCTCCTTCTTGTATACAGCCTCTGTACTAGTCTTCAGTCAAGTACTTGGACTCCTCCACCACATAGACATGTTGTCCCAGGACAAAAAGTTCAACCAGTGCTACTCAGAGAGAAACTACAGGGAAAATGTCACGAATGTAGTTATACATATATAGTCACAGGGTTAATTATAAGAGAACCAGATCGGTCTAATAAAGATAGGAAAATAAGGCAGAGAGATACACTTGGGAGATACACGATCTTTGACTGCAGGAGACGCACGTGGCCGTTGACGTCCGTCACATCTCGCCGCCGGTTACGTCGGCAGGACAGGAAGTGGAGCGAGCAGACTGTGATGATGGAGCTGTGTCCCGGAGACGGTGCTCATCGGGATGTTATCTGACATTTCGAGAGAAACGACAAGCGTAATGCGGGTTTGTCGCGCGATGTGAGACAGCGGATCGGAGTCAGGTATGACTCAGATATTCGTGAAAAAGCTAGCTGGCTGTTAGCTCGGTTAGCTCTCATCCTTCCAGCTCCGAGCAGGCAGCGAGCAGCTCCGCCGACCCGCTGCTGCACCACACGGAGCTGCTCGGTGAGAAGATGACGAGGCCTTAATATCACACAGGCAACGGTGTGCAGAGTCAGCAAATACAGGTACTGTCAGTCAGGTCTGGGAAAATGCTGCTGGGGTTAGTTACTGCCAGTTAGCGGAAACACATGTTAATGATGTCTAAGTCAAGTGGTTTTAGATGTAGCCCCAGCTTGATAGTTTCTATTGGGTCAAAACACTGGAATCACACTTTTCTGTGCTAATAAATGCAATATCACAAATCTGAATAATAAACAGTATATAGCTCAGTCCAGGTCTCTTGTGAAAATGTGATCATTTTTGTCCTTTTATTTCATTAAACCAATCAAATACGGGTTTCAGTTCTGGAGATTTAAATGTCCACCCCCAATATCTAACAGTTACCAACAACATGTCACTCACAATTAACTTTAACTGATGAAACTCATGCCTAATCGGCCTACAGATTATTTGAATTTCAAAAAAGTACCAGTAATTCCTGTGAGTCAAAATCTCCACTCTGCTGTAAACGCTCACCATGACAGTTTTTTTCCTGCTCTTGGCTCTGTGTGACGTGTGCTCATCTGTAGAGTACAGTTCTAGTTGTGTGCCCGCAAGCTCCACCCACCTGCTTTTATGGGAGGGGTCACTAATCAGAAGAAATTTGCTTTACGGGAATCAAATCGGCTTGTTTCAGACTTAAGGAATTAGGGATAGCTACCCTGCTACAATCCAAGAATAAAAATACAGAGCCGGAAATTAGTTTAATACGTCCACTTTAATCATAAATAACATCCCAATGACTTGTTGAAATTAATAGAAAACAAATTGGGGGAAAAAAAAAAGAGTCACGGGGTTTAAAAGACCTGATTTTAGGTAGACTTTATGAGAATCATTTTCCTGCTTAGGTGAAGTCTACTCCTGCAGGATGATTTTTGCTGCCAAGTACTCCAGAAGAGGAAAATATAAAGGAAATGGGACAAAAAGTAGGTCAAAAGTCAAGCGTAAATAGTACCACTGATCACCTTTGATGTTTGGCACTAATCAGATAATTCTTTAATTGATTGATTAATGCAGCTCCAAACTTGAGGATAAAAACAGTTAACTGCTTCTGTCTGTTTACACATAATTAAACATAAATAAATGAGTAACATACAAGAACACACACACAAATATAAATAGAGGCTCTAAAACAAAACTAACCCACTTCCTGCTCCTCCACAGACATGGCGTCGCAGCTCCAGGTGTTCTCCTCCCCCTCTGTGTCCTCCAGTGCCTACTCTCGCTCAAAGAGACTTAAAGTGGAGAACCCCTCCTGGGATGCATCAAGCCAGCTGGGAGACAATGGTTACTACCAGCAGAGCCCTACCCAGGGAGCTGCACCCTCAACCTCTGGCTCCAACTTTAACCAAGTGTACACTTCCAACCAGGTCCACCCGCCAACGGCCGGCTCAAGGGAGCAGACGGTGGTGCGGGCGGCAGACAGCACGGGCAGCCTTTGCGGGCCTCCTTCATCCTCCTCTTCATCTTCCTCCTCCAGCCGGCGAATCAAGGATGCAGAGTCCTCCTCCCAGCCGTCCGACCTCTACCACAAGCAGTACAGCCTGAAGAGGAAGAGTGAGGAGGTGGACAGCAGCGACAGCGTGCAGATACTGGAGGAGCTCTCCGCCCCCGTGGTCTCAAACCGCAATGGTGGCGGTGGCGGGGGAACCACCACTGCTCAGTCCATAGCACACTCCACCTCCACCACCAAGAGCAGCAACTCCCACAGCGAGGGCGACTATCAGCTGGTGCAGCACGAGATCCTGTGCTCCATGTCCAACAGTTACGAGGTGCTCGAGTTTCTGGGACGCGGCACCTTCGGTCAGGTGGCTAAATGCTGGAAGCGGGGCACAAATGAGATAGTGGCCATTAAAATCTTGAAGAACCATCCCTCTTATGCTCGGCAAGGGCAAATTGAGGTGAGTACATATTGTTAAAATTGATGAAAGGAGCCTTTATTAGCATATAATTTCATATAATATGAAAATTGGGAATGGCGGTGCATGTATATGACATCATAAATGCAATCCTACTTGTGCTTTTGGCCTGTTTTCAGCTTGTTTGACCATGTCAGTCTCCACCTTGTTTTTAATAAGACATCAATAGTTACCTCACGACTAGTCTACAGCGAATTGAAGCACTGATATATGGCAGGGATTATACTAGATTGTAGACATGGACAGCTGTCATATTTCCTGTGCAGTTGTCAGGCACGTAGACCTCCATAGAGACGCTTGTGCTCACAATATAACACAATATGAAGAGCATCCGGCATGAAAATCTGCCAAATCAAATGAGCATGGCTACCTGCTGTGGTGATCCCTTGTGCAAATGGGAGCAGCCAAAAGCAGGTTTCTTTTATTTGCTTTATATTGTAAGCAGTGTTAGTGGTCTGGCTGCATGGTTGGCAGTTATGGTTGAGATCAGCCAACATCCAGCTACGGGAACAGATACAATAACCTGAACTTTGGCCGCTGACTGAAATATCTAATCTATTTGATTGCCGCAGAATTTTGTACAGGTTTTGTTTTATATTTTTTAATTGGAGGATGAATCCTACTGACTTCTCTGATCCTCTGTGTTGTTTCTGCCATAGGGCTGATATGTGATTTTGAGTACTGGATGGTACCAAAGATAAATTCTGTGAACCTTCATGTTTTGGCCTGTTAAGGAAGATGTTACTTTCGCATTCATTTTTCTGTTTATTACCACATAATATCATCTTCCTCCTACTTGCAGGTGAGTATCCTCAGCAGGCTGAGCACGGAAAATGCCGATGAGTTCAACTTTGTCCGCTCGTACGAGTGTTTCCAGCACAAGAATCACACGTGCCTTGTGTTTGAGATGCTGGAGCAGAACCTTTACGACTTTCTGAAGCACAGCAAGTTCAGCCCTCTGATGCTCAAGTGCATCCGGCCAATCCTGCAGCAGG